AATATGTAGATGAAGATTTTTTAGCATTCTACAAGCAAGAGAGTATTACGAAACAACTTTTTATTCCACATACAACTTAGTAGAATAGTGTGATAGAGTGTATGAATATGACTCCCATACATGTAAGAGACATTACTATAACCACTCTTAAACAAGAAATTTGTTTTGTTTTATCATAATCTCAACATTAAAAATGTTCGTGGTCAAGGATATGATGAGGCTAATAATATATGTGGAGAGTGGAAGGGGTTACAAGCTCTAATTCTTTAAGAATGTCCTTATGCATATTATATATATTGTTTTGCTCATCAATTCGCTACTACAAATAAGGCTTTCCACGTCGGTTCTGGAAGGCCTTCAATGGCGGTTCCAGAACCGATGTTGTATCAGGCGACGTTGAAAGTCAGGACTTTCAACGTGTTCTATTTAACCGACGTGGAAAGTCTATTTATTTCCAACCCCTCTCCCCTCTCTCTATTTATCTAGAAATCCCCCTCTCTTTTATATTATATTTTTATTATTTATCATCTTTTATTAAAGTTTAGAGCATTACCAAATTAATTTTTTGTCAGCGACGGATTCGAACCTAGTACCTTAGTGTTGGAGGCCGATACTCCAACCACTAAACTACTCGAATTTTTTGATAATAACTTACAAATAAATATATATCCGTGTAAATATATAAATATATAAATACAAATATATTTATATATTTTGATATATTTATATAATTATATATTTATATGTTGGATGTGAGGGCACGCTCGAAGGTGAAAGTGTGTCGAGTGAGTTTTCAAAATTTGATGTCAAATTTGTGAGCGAGTCTCTTTATATGGGTTTGTAATTTAATGACAGAATATAATATTTATAATTTATTAATGATATAAAATAAATATGAGAAACGCATCATTCGCTCAAGCGAAAAATACCAATTTTCGCTCAAGCGAGGCTTGAACGAGTGAATTTCCGTGAGTTTTAACGTATTTTCACTCAAGCGAGAGTCAATCTCACTTTCACCGTCAAACGCGCCTTCACATCCAACATATAAATATATAACTATATAACTATATAAATATATATAAATATATCAAAATATATAAATATATTTGTATTTATATATTCTATATTTATATATTTGCACGAATATATATTTATATGTATATAAATATAATTTATTTGTAAATTATTATAAAAAAATTATAGGAGTTTAGTGGTTGAAGTATCAATTTTCAACTCTAAAATACTTGGGTTCAAAAAATCTCGTTAGTGACAATTCTCTAACTTAAGTAAATTTTTGGCCGAAAAAAATAAAAACACTTTCCAGAAAATATATATATTTACACGGATGTATATTTATTTATATATAAATATAATTAATTTGTAAGTTATTATCAGAAAATTACAGTAGTTTAGTGGTTGGAGTATCAACTTTTAACTCTAAAATATTGAGTTCGAATCCTGTCGATGACAATTCTCGAACTTAAGTAAATTTTTGGCTGAAAAAAAATAAAAACACTTTCCAGAAAATATATATAAATAAATATATATTTACACAGATATATATTTATTTGTATATAAATATAATTAATTTGTAAGTTATTATCGGAAAATTACAGTAGTTTAGTGGTTGGAGTATCAACTTTCAACTCTAAAATACTGGGTTCGAATCCTGTCAGTGACAATTCTTGAAATTAAGAGAATTTTTGGGTGAAAACACATTCAACGTCGGTTCATCTAGACTACGTCGGTTGACTTTGACTAAGAACCGACGTAGAATGTGTCCAACATTCCACTTTCAACGTCATTTTTTAATCAACCGACGTTGAAAGTGTATTTAACGTCGGCTCAGCTTTAACCGATGTTAAATGACGACGTTGAAAGTATATTTTGTAGTAGTGATTACAATTCGCTCTTGTTGTTGTAGCTAAAGAAGTTGTAGATGTTCATGCTTTTTTCCAAAACTTGACTAATATTGAAAATGTTGTGTGTTCTTCTTCTAAATGCAATGATGAGTTACAAGATGTTTATACAAAATGAAATAGTTCATTTGGTTGAAATAAATGAGATTGAGACAAGGATGAAGGCTAATCAAAATTGCACATTGCAAAGACCTGTAGCACTATATGGAGTTATCATTTTAATTAAGTATATAATCTTTTACGGATGTTTAGTGTAACAATACAGTTCTTGAAGATTTGACGGTTAATGAATATATATACCCTAAAAAGGGTGATGCTACTTATGTTCTTAAATCTTTGATATCATTTGATTTTATATTCATTTTACACGTGATGAGAAAAATCATGAGAATCAGTGACAAATTTTGTCAAGTATTGTAACAAAAATCTCAAGATATATTAAATGGTATGTATTTAGTTTATAGTACAAAATAATTAATTCAAAAGTTAATAAATTGTGGTTGGGGAACACTTCTTGAGAAAGTTAGCATTTTTTTGTGACAAACAAGAAATTAAAATTCCCGATTTGAATGTTTCTTTTTCGATATAATTTGATCTCGTCGTAGAAAAGAAGTTATCACAAGTTGAGCATCAGTAGAAAGAGTTGAATAATAGATTCGATTAGAACACAACCAAGCTTCTCATATTGAGCACCATTTTGGATCCTAAAGATGATAACAAAAAATGTGATGCTTCTAACATTTACAAATTAATGGAAAAATTCTATTCATAAGATTTTTCAGAGTAAGAGAAAATTCAGTTGACATATGAATTCTAATACTATAAATTTGACGTGCCTATAGCTCTACAATTTCAAAATTTGTCTATTATTGCGGAATTGTGTGAGAAATTAATAAAAAAATGAAAAATCAATATATATCCTTCCATTGATAAATTGATTCAACTTATTTTAATTCTTTCGGTCTCTATAATAATAATAGAACGTGCATTTTTAACTATAAAAATTATTAAAACAATACTTCAAAATAAGATGAAATGTGATTTTCTTATTGATTACACGATTGTTTATATTGAAAAAGAGATTATTACAAAATTTGATTCATACGTAATAATTGATGATTTTTATAATATGAAATATTGTGAACACAATTGAAATGTACTTGATTATATATATATATATATATATATATATATATATATATATATATTATTGATCTTAAATATGTGTGAGTGATTTGTAATTTTTAATAATTTTATATAATATCTTTATTTTTATATATTGACATCCATCATTAAAATTTTTGGTTCCATCCTTGCACATGACTAGTCATAATGGTTTACGATTGAAGATTCACAATTTGTGCACATTGAAAGGTTGCATGTGGAATGAGACAATGCCTCTCAGGACACTAGTGGAACTTCTTAGGAGGTGAGAGAGATTATGTTTCTTTTTTAAAGTTTTATAATTTATATTAATATTTATGATTTTGGTCTACCAAACTTAATAATTATTAAATATATATATTTATATATTTATAAATTTGATATTTTATCTTTTAATATTTTTTTATATTTACTTATTATTATTTATTAATAATATATTATTTGATCCCTTAGTATTAATTGTCCAGATTTATCATTGTTATTCGAGACAAGATAAATATTCCTCTAATTACTTATTTATTTCAACATTTTTTTTTTTATAACTTTGGGGATCTATATCTGAGCACGAACCAATCAACTTTCTTTACAAATCATCTTAAATATACATATACAAATAAGAAGAAATTTCTTTTAAAATCTACTTCTTCATAGGACGAACATGAAAACGTACCTAAGCTTAGACTCTTCTCTTTTTATAAAATATACAAAAAATATTTTTCATAATATACTACGTTTTAATATATTATTTAACTATTTTACTATAATTCTAAAAAAAAGTTTAATATGTAAATACACGTGTTTTTTTTAAATATCAAAATTAATTTATAAAAAGACCTTTATAACTACAAATTTTAATTTAATTCCTGGTTGTTAAAAAAAACGTTATTTTTAAAATATCAAAGTTAATCTTTTAATTATTCAACACTAAAACATCTCTATTCTATTCTCGTAACGTGCCATGACCCAATTGAGAAATACGAAATCCTTCTTAACTAGATTTAATTTATTTTAAAAGTACGAGATGAGCTTCGATTTGGAGTTTAATAACATGCATTAATAACGTAAAATAATAATATCAATAAAATAATTAGTGATTCTTAAGTATTATCATTGAAATCAAATATATCAGTTTGTAGTTAAAAATCAGATAGAAGCACTTTAGATTACTCATGCAAACCCTAATTTTTCTTTCATATAAAAACAGTTAAATTAGTTAACATAATCTTTATATATATATATATATATATATATATATATATATATATATATAATATTTAATAAGCAATATTTGTTGAAAAGGTTGTCACTTTATTTTAATATCTCATTATTTATTTTAAACTTTATTTAAAAGAGATAAATTTAATATTACTTAGTCGAACAACTAGTTGGTAACTCTTTAACTATTTTTAAGAGATTTTAATTTCGTTTTTAAATTAAACAAACGCGGGTTTTTAAAAAATATTAAAAGAATCCTCAAGATAGTTTATGTTGGCTAATTTTTTACGAGTTTAGAATCAGTTTGAAATTTTATTTTGTCATTTTTTATTTATTTTGGAAACATTGATGTGTCTATTATATAATGTTAATAATTATTAATAACTAAATTTTTAGTGATATAGAATTTTAGAAATTGTTTGATAATTTTATTTATTTCAAAAGCCAAATGGTAGAATTCAAGAATTTGATGATTTAATCTAAGAAACTAATAATTATATTTGAAAAAAAAAAAGTGGAGGACTTCTCTAATATAAAATTTAAGATAAGAGTTAAAAAAAATATTAAAAAATAATCCAGAAAAAGAAATATCATTGCTCGAAGCAATATCATATTCGTTTTCTTTCCATTGAGAAACTTGGTCGAACGAAAACAACGAACCCTAGACACCACTTCCATAACCAGACAAAGACACAAGCAAACATGTCCGGTGTGGGCTCTCTTACGCAGGATTGGGATCCAGTCGTCCTTCGCAAGAAAGCGCCCACCGCTGCCGCCAAGAAGGACGAGAAAGCCGTGAACGCGGCCCGTCGCTCCGGCGCCGAAATAGAAACTCAAAAAAAATGTTCGTTCCCGAAACCCTCAACGAAAGAAATAAACAAATCTTCGGAAAATTGCTCCTCGCGTGTTAATTGTTTTGCTAATCTGAATTTGTTCTAATGAATTGATCAGTTTACAGTCTATTTTTGTTTTTGAAATCTCGGATCTAAACGTGTTTTCTTGTGATTATTGCAGCTGGCTTTGATGATTTGGTGTAGAGGCAGCAGATTTAATTTGCAAATTAAATCTTTTAAAGGGTTAGGAAAAAAATTGAATTTGATAATTTTTAGTTGGATAAAAGGGTACTGAAAAACGAGAGCTAAATGATTTGCCATTGAATGGCTATGGATGTGTCTTTTGTGTGTGTGCTTGTTTTTATGTGTTATTATATTCTTCTTTTGTTGATAACCTTTATTTTTTGGATGGATTGAATGGTGATTGTTGAATTGTTGCTCTTACAGATAATGCTGGGACTAACAAAGCAGCCTCTAGCAGCACTTCATTGAACACTAAGAGGCTGGATGACGATACAGAAAATCTATCTCGTGAGTATTACAACATATATATCTAGACAGAGAATTAGGTTGTGTTTGATTTGATTTCAATCCTCAAAAACTGCTTTTGGTTTTCAAAATGTAATTAAACAATGTTGCTTGGACAATTGGTGGAGGGTAGTGCAAGGCTCAAAGCAGAGTGTGGACAAATAAGATGAGAAAACATCCCCAACTGTCTCTTTTTTGGTTTATAAAATACTTCTTTTGTGAACAATTTCCACTACTAAACAGATTTTGGATGGGAAATTGATTCCTGAGTAGTTTTAGATTTTTATAAACCAAATATTGAGAAGGAAATCAAACAGCTCTTAGTGTTTTATTTTTTTATTTTTTTAAATGTTTCCTACTAATGTAAGAACATCGGTGCATTTACATTTGATATACAGTTATATGGGAGGAATTAATGGGTGAATTATGCATACAATGTTGTTGTTCACAAGGGGTGTTTGCTTTTAGTGGATATTCCCTGCATCGACTTCCTTGTCCTGCTTCAGTATTTTCAACTACAAAATTATTCTTGGAGCATGTTCTTTTTGGTGGTTTTTATGTATTGTCTTTTGACCCTTTCTAGGTTATGGAGTTTCAGTCCCTTTTTTTTTTTATGAATAGTGATTATGTGATAGGTAGATTGAAAAACCACTTGTCTAATCATCATAATTTCACAATAGCTAGAAATTACTAACCTTTGAGATGTCAAGGCAAAGCGTTTGGTGGTGTAATTGTTAGAGATTTTATATAGAACCATTCATGCATCTAACACTGAAGATTTTTGGGTGATTGGTCAATATTATGGTATCAGAGTCTCTGTGCGCAAGTGACCTTGAGTTTGATTCTTGCTGTCTTCATTCTTCCAATAAAATGTTGAATCTCTGCTCAGTTAAGAGAGCCTGAGCATTAATCACGTTTAAAACTCAAAGGTATTTGGGGTGTGTTAGAGATGTGATATAAAACTAGGAAGTTCATTAATCTCTTTGATAGGTTTTCAGTTTTATTTCCTTATTCAATTTTTGGCACTCGAATTTAAGTTACAGATGATAAATCAATGGTAGTTTTTTTCTTTGTCCTAATCGTAAAGAAGAAATTGTATGCATAACATGGTAGAATGATGATATAGATTCGGACACGAGGAAAAAACATAATGATAGTGAGTAACCCTCTTCCTCAACCAAAGTAAAGATCTTTCTTTAAGACAGTCTACTGCATCATTTCCATATATGCAATTTCTAAGTTGAATGATACTATTTTTTAAATCCTGCCATTATAAAATTGAGTCATTTTTTCTACAGATATCTGTTTCTTATCTTGATGAGATGTGGAACTTCTGGGGGTAACTGGATCATTAATTATAGGTTTTGATATATAAAACCCTCGGGCTTCAGGAGCATAAAACATGGTTGAACTTGTTACTCTCTATGGTTTTATTTGTCTACTGATTGTGCATCGTAATATGGATTCATATGATTTCATAGTCTGTTTAATAGATCGGAGAATTATGGCGACCAGTGGGCACTGTTTTTCAAGTTTAGATTTCTTGAACCAAAATTAAAGCCTCTGATTGGACTTTCGTGTACAGATGAGAAGGTGCCAACTGAACTTAAGAAGGCTATAATGCAAGCTAGGATGGACAAGAAACTTACTCAGGCTCAGCTCGCTCAGGTATTGTTCTCCACTCAGCAGAAAAGAAAGTTGAATATATTATGGTCTCTTGATTTTTCTTATTTAGGCATTACCAATGATGTGCATTTGCATTGTTATTTGCAGCTGATCAACGAGAAGCCTCAAGTGATCCAGGAGTACGAATCAGGGAAGGCCATTCCAAACCAGCAGATAATTGGCAAGTTGGAAAGAGCCCTTGGAACTAAACTGCGTGGCAAGAAATGAGGAAACTAAATTTATGGTTCTGCATATAATATGGTGTGCATGTCGCTGTGGGAGCGTTGTGTTTGCTCACTAATTGTGTATATTTAAGACAGATAAATATGGTTGTGAGGACCTGTGGCTTTCACCTGTTCGAATAAATAAGTTGCATTTTGAGTATAAGATTCACCTATGGCTTAAAGTAATGGCATTACAATTTTTTTTTTCATTAAAACTATTACTAATTAATATACTGGTTCGTCAGTTCTACTTGACTTTTATAAAAGCTTGTATTTACCTTAATTAAAAAAACACATTTTTATAAAAAAATTAGACTTTACCTTTTGGGAACCTTAAATGGATCTCATACTATAAACCTTTCAAAGCATACCAAGACTTACAAGAAAAAAGATGATGTTAGTCATTCATTATAATTTTTTAATTATTTTTTTAAGGATGATAAATTTTTAGTTCTTAAAACATTGTCCTTATCTACTGTGATAAAAAGAATTTATATTTTTTTCAAGTTTGATCTAAGTTGGAATTTTGGTAATTAGGTATTATATTTTTTTCAAGTTTGACCTTAAGTATGAGTTTTGACAATTAAGCATTAATTTTTTAGATAAGTAAAAAACTGTTTTTTGCATAGTTAATGTCCAATATTAATGGAAAATAATAAAAATCTTTAAGTCCATATTAGATAGAGTAATCATTCTCTCAAGATATAAATTCTCATAAAGAGTTGTTAACTTGGAGAAAAAGATTCACTTGGTCTTATCAACATGGAATCATGCTCTCCGAGAGAAAAAGATTCACTTACGCTCTCAACATGGAATTATGCTCTTCGAAAAAAAGATCCACTTGGCCCTATCAATATGGAATCATGTTCTTCGATAAAAAAGATCCACTTAGCCCAAAAGGAAATTGACTTCTTGGGAATATATTTCTGTCAAAGCTTGTATCAATCTCAACATCACATTGTTGAAGAGCTTCTTAATTTCCCTAATGAAAATCTAACTGTTAAGCAAATCCAACAATTTTTTGGAATACTCAACTACATCTGAAAATTTATTTCCAACATTGTCAGGTATACAAGTCCCCTGTCCAAATTGCTAAAGAAGAACCCTCATTCTTAGGGACCAGAATAGACTCGAGCAGTGAAAGAACTGAAAAAAATAGCCTAGTCTCCTCTAGCTTGCTTTGAAGATCCCAGGTAATGGGAAAAGAATATTGCAGACTGATTTAAGTGACAATTATTGGGGAGCAGTTCTTATCGAAGAAAATAATGGGAAGACATATTACCATGGACATGCTAGTGGACAGTTCAAGGATGCCGATAAACACTATCACACCACATTCAAGGAAGCCTTAACGGTCAAAAATGGGATAAAGAAGTTCGACTTCCATCTCAGAGGACATCACTTCGAAGTTTAAATGGACAACTCATCTTTTCCGAGGATCTTAGAGTTCTAGAACAAAATGCCTCCTAATCCTCAAATCCTCAGACTAATAGACTGATTTTCAAGGTATAATTTTTCTGTTAAACATATCAAGGGAAACCAAAACACAGTTCCTGATTTTCTATCCAGACCTAAGAAAATGGTCCAATTGATTTCTGATATCCATAGTCTTCCTCTCATCTTTATGGTCAAATCTCTATCCAACAAAGCCAAAACTGTTAAATTATATCCTCCCGGATTGAACTCAACCTCTCCTGCAAATATCCTCAAGTATGTGAAATCTCGCTACTTTTAGTTTCTCCATGAAACCATGAAATACAAAACCATTTCAGCCTCCATGTTTAATCCTGACATTCCTTTTGAGAGAATTTTTGAATTATTCTGTGAACCTGGATGGGAAGTGAACCAACACTTTGGACGATATGGTGTGACACTGTTCAATACTTCATCCCTATTGCATTAAAGATACAACAAACCTATAGGATTTTGACAAGTCCTTACAAAAATAAGTTTCGCTTCTGGATTTTACTAGAATGATTTTCACTGTTGTCTTGGTGGAGACAAGAACTGAACAAGATTTTGGACTTCCAAAAGCAAAGAGGAATGGCTGAAGACTCCCTTAAAGATCTTACTTCAATCTTCATCATCCACTGTTCATACTTTTTAAATCCTGCAGGTCAATTATGGTAAAGAAAAATGAAGCCTACATCAGGGAAAACTTTGAGACTTATCCTATAGTTGAAAGCTACAAGACCCAATTGGCAAGACATCTCTGCGAAGTCAAAAACTATCATTACAAGTCAGTAGACCCCAATATTGCCAGCTCATCCCAAAGGTCATTTAGCTCTTATCCTCTTAATCGAATCATCCTAAAAGATGATGGCACACAAGAGATAAAATTGTTCAAATCAACGACTGAGATTTATGTGCCCAAAGAAGAATTCCAAAATGCTGAAGACTTGACAATAATTACAATGAGGAATTAATGGAAGAAATGATGATGCACAAGAAGATGTACCCGGGATCCACTACATGGAAGTATGACAAGGAGCGAGGCCCAACAGATGAATCATTCTGGCTCCACCAGATCTAACTCTAAGTAAAGACTTTAGTTAATAACTATCATCATGACAAGTTACTAAAATAAAATTTCCTTATGTCTATTGCGAGCACTGTAAACATATTAATGAAGATGAGAACGAATCAACTTTACTTTATTTGAAAGGATAATATATCTTATCATATCTTATCTTATCTTATCTGTAACATATCATATCAAATCTTATCTTGTCTGTAAGGCCATAATCAATGTGAGCCGCTATCTTATCTTCGGATTTCACTTTGAAAAATAATTTTGAGTCCAAATTTCATTTTAGTTTAGCGTAGTTTTGAATTCTGTTTGTGTGGTTTGCCTATAAATATGAGGACTTGTAATGTTGCAACTTAGAATGAATCTAAACGAAATAAAATCTACTTCTCTTTCTTAAAATATTTTTCCTCTAAGCTTTCTTTTCTCTGAAAGTCTGAAGTATATAGTTCTTATTATCATTCTTTACTTAGATACAAATATACTCTACACTTGTCTTTTATGAGGATCCTGTGTATCAGAAAGTTTTCGATCCCTGAAACCGTTTTATCGCAGAGCAAGATACAGCTGAATCGCCAATGGCGAATTCCTTTATCCTGTCATGGAGACATATGCATAAAAACAATATCAGCATTTTGAAGAAATAACAAAGAGGTAATAAGAAACATGGAAATTTTTAATTTTATTGCTAAATCCATGTGATGTGCAGTAGAAAGCAAATGCAATGAGCACAATATGCTCTTGACTAGGACTGACTTGTAAAACTAAACGTAGGAAAATGAATCAAAAATTGTCCTCACTTCAAAATCTTCCCACTTCATAAGCTTCATGTTTGACTTCTCCAGAAGGGATCCAAAATTAGTGCAGTTCCTTTTGAAACGCTGAAGGCCTTTAAATGAGCCTGCTGGATCCGCAAATTCACAATCCTCTTCATAAGCATTTAATGTCAGATCTCCTGATTGTTGAGAAGAACAGAGGATTCACCATGTGAGCTGTCTGATTATATATTCAAATTACAAACCAGTAACATTAATGTGATTTTATGCTAGTCAAGTGGTCATTATATGAATAGCAATCATTTGGAGGTTGCATGGATATGAGATTGGAAATACACTTCATTGAGGCTTGTCCCTTTTTGGAGTGCAGTTATTCTAATCCTATCCCCTTAACCTCCACACCTTCATCAGTTTTGGGTGAAACAAATACATATTTCTAGCTCTGAGGTATGCTTCGACAAACTTTTTCATAGGCACTTCTAAAGAAAGAAATAAATATGTTTTTTCATGATTTAAAATTACCTTATACACAAATTAAAAAATAAAAAGTTAAACCTCAATTTATTTCTTATTTTTCTTTCTTAGAAACACTTACGAAGAAGTTTGTCCAAACATACTTGTACTCATGTTGTCTTTGCCTGAAGATGCATTAATAGAAGCCAAGGTTGCATAGAATAGTTCAAATTTTATAAGGAAGGCTTAAAACACAATAGAAAAACTCGACCCAAAAGACTAATCTATTAGACCTCAATGCTTAAATTATTACAAAACTATTGTAATTTAAAGCTTCATCTGCACCATTTTCAACCACCTATTTACATAATCTTTTAAGCCAAATCCAGGGCTAGGCCTTAGAATTTGCTTGAACAATGCCTTTTTGGGAACATTCCAGTGCTCCACATGCCTGAAATTTTTTATAGATATTTAGATAGTTGTCTAAGAGGACTGAAAGGTAGAACCATGTAGCTTCACAATAGTATTCCGTGTATCCAGTTGCTGCGGCATATATCAACATGGTCGAAAATATGAACTTGAGTGGGCTGTGAAGCAATGGTGGCGCCCTTATGGCCAAGGATGTTCATATCATCTTGATAAGAAGGGGTCTTTATCTGAAATGGTATTAGAGCCTAACCATTTTTCAGAAGGAGGTATGATAGTAAAAATTATATGCAGAAGGCGAGTAAAAGAAACTTTTAGAAATGGATAACCAAATAGTATCAACTGAGTTCGGTCCCGTTTTGTTAAACTCTACCCTTTCTCTTCTAAAAAATATCTTAAAAACTCTTTCCTCTAAAATAAAAAACCTCATAAAATATTCCTATGTCCCGAAAGATGCTCAAATCTCTGAAATGTATAGTTCTCTCTTAAGCCCGTATAGTATAATATTTTTAAGAGACAGAGATCTACTCTTAAATCTATCTCCCGACTCATTTTTACCAAAAGACCACAAGTCAAAGAATACGTCCAATCCTCTAAGATGAATCAGTGTGCCCTAGCCTCCACTACAGAAGAACAATACGTCAACATTGAGATCTCATAAGATACTGACAGAACGAATGATACACTCATCTCCATTATGGGGCTATACGACCAGTCCTTTCCCTCCATGAAAGATGGAGATTACCCATCGTAGCCAGAGTCTCTCTCTTAGACTCCAACTACCTCCATTATGAACATACGGTTATCGACACTGTTCTGACT